GCCAGGACTCCAGCCTGAGCAGCTACATCCTGTATTTGGGGTCTTGGGGTGCAGAACCTGCCCTGCAGCTGGGGCAGGAAAGGCCTGGAAGCTGCAGGAGTCCAGGGTGGGAGCTTTTGGCTGGGTCTGGGACCAGGTGGGCCAGAGCCAGGTGGGAGGGGAGTGAGGGAATGAAAAAGGTGAGGGAATGAGGAGAGAGCAGCCTGAGGGGCTGGGTGGGTGCAGCTTTCCCTTTCCATGGGACCTGTGGTTCCAGACTTGGGGCTGGATGGAAGCTGGGTCAGTCCTGGGCACCTTTTCCTCCTTCACTGCTGTGGAAGAGATGAGGAAGGGCTTTCCCTGCCTCTGGCACGGCTGGAATTCCTGCCCCAGGCAGACAGCCCAGGCCTGGGGTGAGGCTGAGCTGGGGTGGTCACAGGGAGGGTGACCCTGGTGGGCTGGACACGGGCAGGACACGGCCCCAGGGCAGGACACAGACACAGCCCCAGGACTGGACAGAGACAGCCCCAGGACTGGGCAGCAGCTCCAGTGGGAGCCGAGCCCGGCCGGAGAGCGGCAGCAGCAGCACAGACACAGCCCCGGGCACAGGAAGGGATGGAGCAGCCTGGGAAGGGCCCCAGCCCAGCTCCTGTCCTCTGGAAATTCCTTCCAGCTGCTCCAAGGAGGCAGAAATCCCCCGGAAGGCAGCTGGAGGCTTCCAACACTTCCCCAGCTGAAATTCCATGTCCCCCCTCGGTGCCAGCAGCAGAGGTTGGGATGGCCCCAGCAGTGCCCATTCCCCAACATTCCCAAGGGAAGGGGTGTGGGATAACCTGGCATTGCCTGAACACTGGCCCAGCCCTGGGGCTTGGCAGAAAACCCTCCGGGACAAAGGACGAGCCATGGCCACTGGTTCTGCAAAATCCACTGATTCCACATTAAAAGAACTTTATTTTTGGAAGATTGCTCTCATTTGTTTTCATTCTTTTGAAACCACATCATGTCAGTGGCACCAGGGTGGAACGGTACATCCTATGGAAACATGCCAGAGAGAGGCTGAATAAATAAAGCTACAAAGCCCAAGTTATGTACAAAGACCTCAGGCAAAGGTATTATGTTTACAAATCTATGTACAATAAAACAAATGTAAACAGTCAAATGCAGCAGAGGATGCACAGGAAGGAAGGACCTTACAAACCCTAATGGCAAAGGGACAATCCCACCTCCACTGCTGGGCCAGTGGGGTTTTTTTCTCAGCATTTGTAACTCAACCACCTGGGAGCTGCAGAGCCCTGAACGACGATTGCTGAACCCTCAGCTCCAACCCTGGCTCCATTTGCTGGTTCAGTCTGAAAATCCACTGACTCTGAGGCACATGGACAGAGAAACCACACAGATGTGTTGCTTGAAAGACCCACAAGGTTCAGTCGCCCCAAACTGTCACAGAAGCCCGCAGGTGAGGCTGCACAATCCAGTCCTACAGCACGGGGGGTGATGGGCAGGGGGTTCCTGGGGCCAGGGGGAGCAGCAGCTTCCTAAAGCTCCCATGGGGTTGCTGTGTGTGGGGCGAGGGACGGAGGCCGAGTCCAGCAGGGCCGGGGAGCTGTGGGGCAGCCCTGGGGGCACAGTCCCGGCACACAGCACTGCCCCAGGGCAGGGAGGGCAGCTCAGCCCTGCTGGCCCTGCCCAGGAGCTGCCGGGCTGGGCTGTGACCCCCAGGGCAGAGGGGATGGAGCTGCTCACCATGTCCTGGGCCAGGAGCTGGGGCCAAGAGCAGCGCTGGCCTCCCCCAGGGCACTTCCACAAGGTCTGAGAGCAGCAGGGCTGGGAGGGGACGGGGCAGCCGGGAGAGCAGCGGCCCGGGCTCTGCCAGACCTAAGTGAGAGGAGAGGGAGAGCCGAGAGGGCAAGGCTGGGCCTGTCCCCCAGGCAGAGCAGGACTCGGTGTCCCCCAGGCAGAGCAGGACTCGGTGTCCCCAAGC